GAGAGGTGGGGGGGAGGAGAGAGTGTCAGAAATCTTTGTGTTTTACTATGGTGACAAGATTAAATGCCTACGAGCGAAAGTGAGGCTGTGTGAGCAAACAGACACACGTCTTGTGGAGCTGCAGCTTCTCTGCAGTCGAACAACAAGTGTGGAGACACACAAGTGAACTGCAAACACTGCAATCACACTGACGCAGCGTTTCAGTGGGAGGTTAGGGAGGGTGTTTGCGGGTGTTGTGTTAGTTAATTCAGTCTTCAAAACAATTAAAGGGATAACTCACACACACACACACCACTTTGTCGGCCCACTCCTGCCCCTGTCTGGACAGCTCTCTGATCATTGCATTGAAAAGGAATCACAAAAAAATAAATAATTTGAAAAAAATTGAGGCGAAAAAAAACCCAAGATATGAAAATTAAAATTTCAAAATAATAGCCCTGATTTGCTCCTCTGCTTCTGCAGTACAGTTCAGAGCAGAGGTGATGCATTTACACAGATCAAAAGGAATCATCTGCATTTGTTCAGAGAGCTGTGGAGGCATATTAGGACAGACCAGGAAGTGAGGAAGCAATGCCACCCCTCACCTGGTACTTGTGTCTCTCTCTCTGTGACCTTTTACAAGGGATGCGACGTGTGACCCACTGCAAAGGTAGGCTTCCCCCCACCCCGCCCCCTCCCCCAATACCCCCCCCCGGCCTCCACAGCTCTCTGAACAATGCAGATGATTCCTTTTGATCTGTGTAAATGCATCACCTCTGCTCTGAACTGTACTGCAGAAGCAGAGGAGCAAATCAGGGCTATTATTTTGAAATTTTAATTCATATCTTGGGTTTTTTTCGCCTCAATTTTTTCAAATTATTTATTTTTTTGTGATTCCTTTTCAATGCAATGATCAGAGAGCTGTCCAGACAGGGGCAGGAGTGGGCCGACAAAGTGTGTGTGTGTGTGTGAGTTATCCCTTTAATTGTTTTGAGACTGAATTAACTAACACACACACGCAAACACCCTCCCTAACCTCCACTGAACGCTGCGTCAGTGTGATTGCAGTGTTTGCAGTTCACTTGTGTGTCTCCACACTTGTTGTTCGACTGCAGGAGAAGCTGCAGCTCCACCAGACGTGTGTCTGTTTGCTCACAGCCTCACTTTCGCTCGTAGGCATTTAATCTTTGTCACCATAGTAACAACACAAAGATTTCTGACACTCTCTTCCTCACAGTCGCTTTGAGTTTTTCTGCGAACTCTTTAAATCCTCTCTTCTGAGATTCCACGCTGCAGTTCAGAGCAAGTAGATGTGCCACAGCTCTTATTATCTTCCTGCCCTCAAAATGAATATTTGCATTACAAACACATTCAGTCTCTTTTTGGAGAGGTAGTTCCTATTGACGTCTGTTTGATTTTACTGCTTGTAGTTTTCTCACGCAGCTTGAAGTGTCGTCTGTTTGTGTGTAGGCTTAGTCCCCTTCAGCAAAGTATTCACAAAGCTGACAAGAATTTAAAAAAGACTGGCATTAAAGCACCGTTCGTTTCCTCCCTGAATATTGCTGTTTACCTAGTCTTGTTACAGGATCATCAACTCTTTAAACAACCATTTTTAAGACAACCTCAGCATTTTGAAATGAATCACATCCCCTCGTAACAGGCCGCTTACCTCTGTGTGTTAAGAACACGTTAACCCAAAGTAAGATCTTTTCCCCTCAGTATCTCAGATTGTTTTATCTGAATGAAGAAGAGGTAAAAAAAATATTCAGTATTTGTTCAGAAATTTCTAATAATCTCCTAGGAAGTTAGAGAAAGTTGAAACTTTCTTTATTCAAACCCGTGTAAATACTGTAATTATTCAGTAGTTCTTTATTGCTGGAAACTTTATTCTCCATATATGTTGGATTCTTTATTGCCAAATGACATTCTTCTTTCCAGGAAACTTTACTTTACTTGGAAGTTACAGACCAGTAAAAAAAAAATTGTAACCCAGAAAAATAAATAAATAGAATTTAATAATAATAATAATCTACAGTAGAACCTTATTCTTCTTCTTTCCTGCCCCATTAATTATTTTGTGGCCCCTTGCATGGATCCTGAACCCCAGGTCGGGAACCACTAGTTTAGACCAGATCTTACTTAGTGATACTTCAAAGAAAATAAAAACAAACACTACTTTATAATAAGACCCCAGTGAATCTCTGTTTGATGATAATAAGCAACATGCTGGTGGTTTATAATTTCCCCTAGTTTCCTTTTAATAGTTTGTGTCTTTAAGTAAATATGACACAAAAAACAGCCATTACATCTGTCTAACTTATTCTACCAACCCCCTCCACCCTTTACGTTTCTTGATCCTTCTTGTCCCCTTCCACCCAACTGGCCCTGACAACCTCCACCACCCCTCCCCATCATCTGCTCTTTTCCCCATCTACATTATAGTCACAGTACAGATTTACCTCAGCCGCTCTGCCAAACAGAAGGGGACCAGCGGCAGCCCCGCGGCTTCAGCTGTGACAGCCCGTTCGGCTGCCAGCCCCCAACAAACCTCAGAAAACATCAGGGCCAGCGTGGCCAGAAAGGGTGGCGCCACCAAGGTGCCACCGGTCAGAAAGACCCCGAGCTTTAACCTCCAGTTGAGGAAGTCAGGGAGTTTGTCTTCATATTCTCCTCTTGATACACCCAGCTACCGCAGCCCCATTAAATCCCCCAGCCAGTACTTCCAGATTTGTTACTAGTCATCGCTAGTTTATTTCAGCCAGCAAACTATAACATGCTCAGCTGGAGCCGGTCAGTACAGAAAAAGAAGGTGAAAAGTAGATGTTATGTCACACCTGTACCATTAAAACTACCTTATGCAGTTCTGTTGCCCCCCACATGTCCTCTCATACCAGGACGTTTCAGAGAGATCACAGGTTTTTAGCATCACCTAATAAAAAAGTAAACAAGCAGGTAATGGACAAGCAAGCAAGTAATAAAGTCCTTTACAATCATATTCTTCTCTTCTAATGAGTTTTGAAAAAAAAGGTTCATTTTGTTTGTTTTGGTTCCCTTGGTGTTTTCTGCACGATTTATTTGCAGTGTTAGCATGTTTTAAACTGATGAGGATTTCTCATTATCCCATTTTCTAAGCTTGGATCTGTTTTTTGTTGTTTTTTTTGTTTGTTTGTTTTTTTGTTTCATAACATTTCCATTTGCTCTGCTTGTGTCCGCATTTTATGTTGGTTAACCTCTGCTGTGAGCTGAATATTTATGAGTTGTGGGAGTTTTTAACAAAGTGTTTGCAGTTCATTTTGCACTCTTTGTTGTCATAAAAATGTGTTTAAAATGACTAATAAAGTCAGTTAAAAAGCTAATTTGTTTGTGTTTGCAAATTCTGTCATTTGTTGTCCTTAATTGAGTCTTTATCACAGTAAAAAAAAAAAAAAAATCACATCATCTCATTTCACTCCATTATCCTCTAATCTTGTCATGCATTCAACATTGTCACCCTTATATTTGCATCATAATAGCACATTGTGTTACGCTCTAGTGGTTACAAATGTGATACAATAAAAACTGACACTCCAACCATATATATGTTTTAGGTTTTCTGCACGTATATCATCTCATTGACCATTTTCTTTGCTTTTTCTAGAGGAAGGTTATGTGAAAATGTATTTGAAGGGTCGTCCCATCACCATGTTCATGCCCAAAGACCAGGTGGAGGGCTACTGCCTGGAGGCCCGAGGCGAGCTGCCCAGCAACAAACTCAAACTGGACTGGGTGTATCCTTTTACTGCAGCAGACGGAGACAGGGAAGCCAACATCCACTGTGTGATACCACCTCATGTCTTTTTTTTGTTTTGCTTTTTTAGCTGTAATAAAAAGTTAGAATATTTGGAAAGTTTTGAGAAAGTAGTCTTCTGCAGAAAATAAAATCCAGGTTGGCCTGTGCTGTAGGTAAGAGGTAAGGAAGCTGCGGATGTGATGTCTCAGATATTCATTTTCACCGTGGAGCGCTGCTGCAGTCAGACCCCGGGCTCATGGCTCTGCAGCCTGCAGTCAGTAATAATCTGCATAAACAGTCAGCAGCTTCTCTTGTGCTGTTTTTATTTTTATTTTGTTTCATGTGTGGGTTTTATCTCTTCCTTACATTTGTTGTTGAAAGAATGAATGTAGTGTGTTGTTCGATCCAGCAGAAACCCAAAGGGAAAAAGCTGTAAGGGAAACAAAGAAATGATTAAATCTGAGGAGGCAAGCACACACACACACACACACACACACACACACACACACACACACACACACACACAGAGACAGAGTAGAAACGAATATGTGTCTCTTTCTCCAAACATTACACCTGCTGGTTCAACTGTGGGCAAAATAGATCCTTAACTTTTTCACCCATAGTATCGGGGCTGCAGTTCTTTCCATTTTTGATTAATCTGCAAGTTATTCTCTTGATTAGTCAGGTCCTAAAACTCAGGCTTCTGTTATCAAATTTCTTGTCCAAAAGCCAGAGTTATTCAGTTTGCTCTCACAGAAGACCTAAAAAAAATAACCACAAATCTTCACGAGTGAGAGGCTAGAACAAGGGAAGGTTTGACAGTTTGCTTGAAAAACAACGAATCAATTATTGAATAGAATAGTCGAATGACTGCTTTAATTCCTTGACCTTCACTACAGCTACGGTTACCGCGGTCGTGACTGTCGCTCCAACCTTTACTTGCTGCCCACCGGAGAAACGGTGTATTTCATCGCCTCGGTGGTCGTCCTGTTCAATGTGGACGAGCGGCTGCAGAGACACTACACTGGACACACAGACGATATCAAATGGTAAGAGACGCACAAAACTGATGGGCACACTGCTGCAGTCCACACCAAACCTTTCATCTCTTTCCCCTGTCAGAGTTGATATTTTCTCCATTTCTACAATCCTCACAGGCTGTAGGCGTCATTCACAGCTTTTCTTTTCCGTATTCCTCATAGTCTTCCTGGTTATTCTTGCAGAAAAAAAAACCTATAACGAGGGAAGTAACAGGCAAACAGGTGTACTAAAGTTTTCTGAGCAAGTTTTTGTGCACAAACATCAAACGTCTATTTGAAGGGAAGTGCGCAGTGCACTGAGAGCAACTGTCATAACTCTGTCATCACACTCTGAGGTTAATAAAGGTTCAAGTTATTAATCATCACTTTGGATTGCAGTACAAAGGATGGGTTGCCGACAGATTCTCACTCCTTTGAAGGCAGAGTGTTGGAGCTTTACACGTCCTACGAGTGTTGCTACACCCAAAAGGGGATGAATTTATCTTAAACTGTTTCATTTCCCCTACACATTAGTACAGACAGCGTGTGGTAGCTGCAGTGAATATCATATTCAAAGCTTTAGAAAGCTCACTCACCAGACACTGGCTTTCATGTTCTGCCAGCACATTGCTCATCTTTATTCAAATGGTCCTTTTGATGTCGAAAAAGGGTTTTAAATGTTTTCATGTCTGTTTCTCACGTCTTTCTCTTCACCAGCCTGGCCGTCCACCCCGACAAAATCACCATAGCAACCGGGCAGGTGGCGGGAACCTCTTCAGATGGAAAAGTAAGTGAGATCTCTTATTGATATTTTATCACTTAAGCTTTCAGCGTCTGATTTATTATCTCAGGGAGGAGTTATGTGTTTGCTATTTTCTGTGAGTGGTGATGTTCACTGAGCTGGTTCAGGCAAATCTGCTAAATAAACAGGCTGAGAAAGTGAAACAGGTTCACTCTGCACTCACTTACACACACTCGCTGAATTCAGTTTGCGCTTCAGTAATTTATAAGCCTTGCTGATGATATATGTCTCCTGTTGTTGTGTGTGTGTGTGTGTGTGTGTGTGTGTGTGTGTGTGTGTGTGTGTGTGTGTGTGTGTGTGTGTGTGTGTGTGTGTGTGTGTGTGTGTTGTTCCTGGCAGCAGCTGGCTCCTCACGTTCGTGTGTGGGACTCTGTCAGCCTCAACACCCTCCATGTTCTGGGTACAGGCTTCTTTGACCGAGCCTTGGTGTGTTTGTCTTTCTCCAAGTCGGTAAGGACAGTCCTCTGACACCTTTAGCAAAGACTTTAAAGCTCATGTTTGACATAGTGACTTAAACTTCTGACTCTTGCTATGTTAAGCACTGTGTCTACTTCTGTACGTCAGAACGGAGGAAACACACTGTGTGTCGTAGACGACTCCAACGATCACGTCCTCTCTGTTTGGGACTGGCAAAGAGAGGACAGACTGGCCGAGGTCAAGGTACGAGTGTTTTTCTAATGTGCGAGTGTACAAACACTTCCAACCTCTTTCTCTTCGTAAACCAAACGCGTCTCTTGTTTTACGTGCCTCGGTTTAGTGCTCAAACGAGTCGGTGTTCGCTGCGGACTTCCACCCGACAGACAGCAACATCGTCGTCACCTGCGGCAAGTCACATCTCTATTTCTGGAACCTGGAGAAAGGCATGCTGGTCAAGAAGCAGGGACTGTTTGAGGTAGGTCAACAAGAATCTTTCTCACATGTTAGGACCACACCGTTAAGCATTAAAGTTTGACGTAGAGGCACAAATTTAATCGTGACAACCTGTGATGGTGATGTCCATGTGTAACTGTACATAGAAAATGAATGGTAGTCTAATAGCAAAAATTAAATAACGTGTGTTCTGGTCTTGCAGAAACAGGAGAAGCCCAAGTTTGTGTTGTGCGTGACCTTTGCAGAAAATGGAGACGCTATAACTGGAGATTCCAGTGGGAACATCCTGGTGTGGGGAAAAGGTATACAGTGTTCTTCACACAAAGTCATTGCCACAGTGTTAATAATAATAATAATAATAATAATGATAATAACTTTATTTATATAGCGCTTTTCAAAACAGTTACAAAGTGCTGTACTGACATAAAAACAAAACAACAAAGCAATACAAGACAGAGAAGAGAGGCAAATTAGCAAGGCAGGTATAACAGGGAGAATTACAAATACCTGTTAAAACAATGAAATCAATAAAGCAGACAAAAGAAAATAAAACCAAAAGTTGAAACCAAGGCTAAAAGCATTGAAATCAAGAATTAAACGCTGCTTTATACAAGTCTGTTTTGAGTAGTGTTTTAAACTGAGGCAACGATTCAGCTCACCTGATCTCCTCGGGCAGGCAAGTCTGGGGGCTCGAACAGCAAATACAGCTTTGGTGTTTAGCCAAGACTTTGGGACTGAGGATCTCGGGCATTGCATTTGATTATAAGGATAGAGCAGTTCTGAGATATTTGAAGGTGCCAAACCGGACAGAGCCTTAAAAGTGATAAAAAGTATTTCAAAATCGATCCTTAAAGACACAGGTAGCCAGTTGATAGAGGCTAAAATGGGTGTAATATGATCACATTTTTTGAAACCAGTTAGGAGTCTAGCTGCAGCATTTTGTATGAGCTGCAGAGAACAAAGAGATTTTTGGGAGAGACATGTATACAGGGAGTTGCAGTAATCAAGACGTGATAAGATGAATGCGTGATAACCTTCTTCAGATCGGTGAATGACACAAATGATTTGTCTGTTCGGCAGACACTCACAGAGGTTCGCCAGCAAGTTTTAGTGGAGGCATACAAAGAAACAGAGGGTTTATAAGGGTTTCCACGGGTTAAAAAATATCTTAAAAAAAAAAAAAAAAAAAGTGTGCTTCCACCTGACTTGTGGAATGAGAGGACGTCAAAGTGACAAAACCTCAAAAAGAGCCAAATGAAAAAGAATCTATAAAAAATATGTTTGTGGTCAGAAGCTCAAAGATGTCTCATTGTGCTGGGGCTGTCAGGAGATCAGGGATCAGGACGGGGTCACACCAAGGATAGAACAAGAGCTGGATCTTGTGAGGAAGCATTCAAAAGAAGAACTGCACCTCTCACCCTCCCTCTCCAGCGCCACCATCTCTCCGTCTCTGATTTTATCTATCGATCACTCCGTCTGGTCGTCTGACAGACAACGGTTAATCTGCCCTCGTCAAGCAGCTGACCTTTGTGTCCGACCGAACTGTCTCATCCATCTCATCCCATCTCTGTCACGCAGGCACTAATCGTATCAGCCACGTCATCCAAGGAGCTCACGAGGGCAGCATCTTTGCTGTGTGCATGCTGAGGAACGGCACGTTGGTGTCCGGAGGTAAAGACCGCAGGCTCGTTTCTTGGGACAACGGCTACCAACAGATACAATTGGTGGAGGTGAGAAAAAGTTCAACAAAAGTTAAGAAAAGCAAAATATATCAAGGCTGACAATACAAATTAAGTTTATAAATGACACATCATTTTTGAAGGCGTGCTCTGATGCTCCACAGCATCCTAATGATCTGATCAGATATAACCTCATTCTGTAAATATGGATTATTAAAATGTTAAACTGCATATCCAGCTCCTTCTTTTGAAGTCGGTCTTGGTCTCTTATATTTGCCCCCCTGCCTGAGGCGGTAGACTTTGCATTCTGAACACTGCACCACATCATAAATATTACAGAGGATGAAATGATTTTGCGCTTTCAGTGAAATTCATGGATATTTATGTTGATGAGAATTATGGATCACTCATGTCTTATTTTTCTCCGAGGGGACCAGATTATGGATTAAAAGATAAGTTGATATTTTATGGCAGATGTCCAGGTGAACGGGTGGCTGTTATATTTTTTCTCCACAGGTGCCTGAGTTGTTTGGTCCCATCAGGACCATAGCAGAGGGCAGAGGGGAGACTGTGCTCATCGGGACCACCAAGAACTTTGTTTTGCAAGGCAGCTTGGATGGAGAATTCATGCCTATTACACAGGTAGATGCAACAGTCTAGTGCACTACCTACAGCTGGTCTACAGTGAAGGGCTGCAAATCAAAGCTCTTTCTGTCATTTTTATTTTCAAATATCTCATTTTGTTTAGCCAATAGTTCACAACACACAAATTTTCATTTGTACAAATAAATAACACAAAGAAAAGCAGCAAATCAATTAGGTTTCTGTGTCTTGACTGATCCATTAAACCACTAATTGCTGCAGCTCTGCTATGATGTTGTCCAGGCTTTACTGATCTTTGTAGTTCTGGACAAAGTGAAGTTTGCATTTTAAAGTCTGCGAAGTCTTGGCAGAAGGATAATTAATATAATTGTAAGAAGAAATATTAAAGAAAAACTCTCCTCTCCTCTCCAGGGTCATACTGACGAGTTGTGGGGTCTGGCTGTCCATCCCTGGAAGCCTCAGTTCCTCACCTGTGGATATGACAGGCAGGTCAGCCTGTGGGACTCCAGCACCCATCAGCTCATCTGGACCAAAAGCATGGAGGTATTATTAGTCAACACTGCCCCCCTGGGGTCAGTCATGGGAACTACACAGTGCCCAACAAATAAAATACTACTGCAAGTGGATTGGTAACTACTTAGTCAGTGCTGATGACCTTGAAAAGCTTCAGGAATTTTACATGTAGAATAAAAAAAAATGTGTTTTTACGTCCAGTTTTCCAGCCAAAGCAGTGTTACACCATGAGCATCGTTTTCTATTTCTCCTGTTTATTGTTGGCATTAAACATCCCCCTACTGTGTTTTTTGGTTCTGACAGGATGCTGTCCAATCAGCAGGCTTCCACCCGACCGGAGCTGTGGTTGCCATAGGAACCCAAATTGGCAGGTACAGATCCCATCACTGAAAAGCTCTTATTGCCCATTCCATCTCTAACGAGTTACAGCAGTGCCTGACTGCTTCAGCAAAAGAAAAGTTGTGAGAAAACAGTCGTTGACAAAGTTTTAAGATCAGGTTTTGATGATTATTAATCGGATGAGGATGAGATTGAGATTGTTCAGCAGTCTGTCACTGATCCTGCAGGTGGCTGGTGCTGGACACTGACTCTAAGGATTTAGTCACGGTGCACACAGATGGGAATGAACAGCTGTCTGTTATGCGCTACGGGCCAGGTATGTTGATAACAGCTGACAGTGTGTTTCTCCTGAGCATGCAGGGTGTTGGTCTCTCAGTCAAATCAAATAATAATTTCAATTTTTGAGAATAATATTCCTAAAAGCATAAAACAGACAATGTTGGTTACACAAAGTCTTCCTTTACATGAGGAGATTTTCCACTAAGAGTACTGATGTTCCACTAAAAGTAGCTTCAGTACCCAAACATGAATCCCAGGGTTAATTTTAATATCAAATGTTTGTACAAAGATTTTTCCAAAGCATTTATCCTCCCACTAAGATGACATCACACTGTAACCCTTTCTCCTGAGTGTGAAGAAATGTGTTTGTCCAACATTAAAATACAAATTAAAATAAGTTATCGACTTCTACAACTGCAGCCTAACCCATTCATATTAATAATCCAGATCATTCTAAATAATAAATGAACATCTGCAAACTTTAACATTGCATTTTATTTTGATACCAATGATCCTCCGGTCTTCTTTTATTTCATTTAGATGGTAACTTCCTGGCCATCGGTTCCCACGACAACTACATCTATATCTACGCTGTGGCAGAAAATGGGAGGAAGTACAGCCGAGTGGGGAAGTGTTCGGTGAGCACCTGTATTTATATTTCCCCCCTCATCCATGGTTTCTTTATTTTTAGTTTCTCCCCACATCAACTTTATATTTAGTTCCCTCCTCGGCTCTATATTTGGGCCTCGGCTCTGTACACTTTGTCCTCACCGTGTGTTGATAGAGAAGCTTTAAAATGATAAATGACAGCGAGCTGAGTCACACAGTGCTGTGTCTATGTAAACACAATGACTAAGGGTTGCTGTATCAAATTGGATCAGCATATCTAGGATAATTTGTGGTGCTTGAAAAACCATATTGCCTCCACTGCAGCAATACTGTGAAGTGTGTTGTTGTGTTTCTATGAGGAGACATTGTCTAACCTGGTCCTATTATATATTATCTCAGGGTCACTCTAGTTTCATCACCCATTTGGACTGGTCAATGGACTCCCAGTATCTGGTATCAAATTCAGGAGACTATGAGATACTGTACTGTAAGTATGATCACCACCATCCTCTCGCATCCTGTAAATATTTATTGGTCTATGTTTGAGTAACATGACAGATAAGAGTACATGACAACAATACAAAACATTTCTGCATCAGTTGATTTCTTTGTCCTTTTTTTTTAAAATTTTTTTTTTTAAATTTTTTGTTGTTTATGTTCAGTATACTTTATGCCAGCAGTGTCGAAACTATATGACATGTGCAAAAACCTAACTAACTAACTCTGTCAGTGGAAAAACTAACCCTAAATCACAAAAAAAAAACTATGAACATCAACATGTTTTGATGTGTAGATGAACGGTTTTCTGCTCCGCAAGAAATATCCCATTAAGTGCAGATTTTTTCAGTTTCAGTGGCAGTAATATGGAGCTGACATGTTGATTTGACTGGGCTGATTCTTGCTGTGAAGCAAGTGTTGCAAAGCTATTAAAAACATGTCAAAAAGACTCAGTGTGTGATGGACCTGCATGATATTAACCATGGCACACAGCAGTGCTGAATTTAAAGGCACATGTTTTCAGGGGCTTTAAGTCACAGTACCCCTGATGCTAAGGTATACTAAAACATTGTGTGCATCTGGTTTGTGTGTGTTTGTGTGTGTGTGTGTGTGTGTGTGTGTGTGTGTGTGTGTGTGTGTGTGTGCGTGTGTGTTTCCCCAGGGATCCCATCAGTGTGCAAGCAGGTGGTCAGCGTGGAGACCACCAGGGATATCGAGTGGGCCACATACACCTGCACTCTGGGCTTCCAGGTTTTTGGTAAGGGAGAACCCCCCCCCTGCATGTTTTAATGTTTATTCGACAGCACTAAACAGGAGATTCTGCTGCCCTCTCCTCCTCAGGCTTGTGGCCCGACGGCTCAGATGGCACCGACATCAACGCCGTCTGTAGGTCCGGTGACAGGAGCCTCCTGGTTACTGGAGACGACTTTGGGAAGGTCCATCTCTTCTCATACCCCTGTTCACAGTTCAGGGTAAGATATGCTGTCATATACTGTCATACACAATATACATCTCAGTAATATTAAGAAGGAAACTTAAGTTCTTGTAAAACATCTTTTTTTCTTTTCTCAGGCTCCCAGCCATGTTTACAGCGGCCACAGCAGTCACGTGACCAATGTAACCTTCCTGTACGACGACAGCTACCTGGTGTCGACTGGAGGGAAGGACATGAGCGTGATGCAGTGGAGGATAGTCTGAGCGGGCAAACCGAAACAGATACTGTCAATTAAACTGCTGCTGGGGGTCTGAAACCCAGTTGAACTGAGCTGAACTGAACTGAACTGAACTGAACTGCACTAAACTGAACCGAACCAAACTTAAATTAACTCAGATGCTAAAAAGACGTGGATCTGACTGAACTGAAGTGAGGTGACAGCAGAGGAACTTGCGTCCTGAGGTTTCCTTCCTGATCTGCTCTCACATCCCAAAATGAGATGAACTGGTAGAGGTGTAATGTGCGATTGCTTGAAATACAAAAATCATGAATATTTCTCCATTTCCTTTATTCACACTACATGTAAAAAAAAAAGAAAAAAAAAAGAAAAAAGAAATCTCTCTCTCTCACACACACACACACACACACACGCACTGTAGCCTAGTCACCAATGACATGACACGAAACAAATCAAACGGATCAAATCCAACGAAACAGAACCAAAGGCTCTGACTTTCTGACTGCATTTGTACAGTTTGGCTTTCACTGTTCTTGTATCGTGCACCTGCCACAGATGACGGACTGAATAGGTTTGTTTCGCTGCCTGTTCCAGACTGAATATCATCGAGCTGGAGATCCAAGAGCGCTGGGACAAAAACTGTGTACGGAAAGAAAGAAGATAGTGATTTTCTAATTGTTAAACTTTCTTTTGTTTTGTATTTAACAACTCAGGAAAGCCCTAGTGAAGAAGGACCCTTCCCTGTTATTAACATTGACATATCAGAGCGAGTCTCTGGCCACCCTAAAAACATCTCACTAAAATATTCCGAGAGGCGTCAACCATCAGATACCAGGTATTTTATTCAGCCATTACTGATTTATTTGCATCGACTAATTGTGTATTAGAACTACATATACAGTCAGGGCTGATTCTGAATTTGGTGCAAGGAGAATAATATAGTTGAACAGGAGACACACTGCATGGTTCTTTCCAGTCAGGTGGGATGTTAACCATCATTTGGAGCAATTATATTATGCAGAGTGATGAAAAGTTACATTGTCTGGATTCAAAATTAGGATTTTAACCATTTTCAGCAAAATTATCTGAACATTTTCTAAATGTTTGTGCTTCCAGGTTTTTCAAAAAAAGACGCTTTTCCTATTATTTATTGACCATGTTTCAAATCCATCACTGCCGACATCAGTTCCTTTGAGTTTTTTTCCCCCATAATAAAACCCCAGTTTGTCCCAGATGTGTAAATATACAGAGAGGCTTGACACAGATATGAGCAAAATGTGGGTTAATATGTGGTATTTGAAACTGTTTCCAGTTGTTTTTTTTTTTTTTGGAATGAGTCGTTGTTCGTTTCCTTTGGCTCGAGGTGCAAGGAGAATCAAAATCAAGCATGTACTGGGTTTTTCGATGATGTGAAGCCTTTTCAAACCTGTTATCTCCTTACAGTTCGTTGCACCCAGATCAGTTTATGAAGGAGAAAGATGAGACCATTACACTGTAACTGTTTATGTCTGATGTGCTCTTCAGGTGTGCACCATCAGTCACTGGCAAGATATTTAACTGAACTGAACCCTCTTGAGGTGGGTTTATTTTTTTCCTATATTGCACTGCTTCAACCTGATAAACACACAGCAGGTCTATCAAGTAAATTACCATTTAGCACTTACTGGAGTTCTTCAAAAACCAATGTCTGCTCTCTCAACCTTCCAAGCTGTGTACCATCCGGTCAGATCTATGGTACGGTTCATAGCATGTCACACCATGTCACATCTTATGGTTAACAGCAAGCCAAAATTACTCACATGCATGAATAACTATAATTCCTTTAAAGTGATCATTTAACAGGGTTAAGCTGATTTTTTTTAGTGTGACCATAACTGCCACTGATATGAGGCATGTTGGTGTTGTTTTGAAATCCAGACGGGTGACTGATTGTTGGAGTTGTCTTTATCAGGAAAACCACTGACATCTAACAGCAGTGATATAAAGTCACCACTCTACAGAGTGAATGTAACATGATTTGTCTGACCACTAAACACTTGGGGCTGCAGAATAGCCTTCCATTGGACACTTAACATTTGTCTGAAAGTAAATGCAACATGAAATTCCTATGATGCTGTGTCTTATATTTCCCAGTTTATGACATGTTAATTTTTTGATATTGTATGTCTGTCTGTTTTAAGTTTAAGTGTCATCAAAGTCACTGACAAGTGTAAATATAATGCACTTTGTTCAAGGTTTGTACTCCTTTACAAAATGAGAGGTAAAATGAGAGGTAAAAACACATTATAGTAGCAGCTTCTATTGAGCATTCTATAGGAATAGGCTATTTGTATGCCTTGCGATCTCGGGGTGGGGTTGGGGTTGGGTTGGGTAAGGGGGGGGGGCGTCACTGGGCTGCATGTACGCGTCTTCCCCGCAGGTGGGCAGCATTGAGCCGGTCTACTCCCCCTCCTCCTCTTCCTTCGCACGCCGTATTAGCGTTTTCCCCCAAATCTCTCCACCTCACCAAAACACTCCGAATGGGAAGAAAATATGGCATGAGGGAGGCGGCGGCTGACGACCACCGTTTACCGTCTTCTACCGAGCACGAGCCCCGGCTGAACATGGACTTAAGGAGACGCAGCGGCGCGCGTGGAGAGCAGGGACAACGGAGCACAAAGCCGATGGGAGAAAACGCTGCTCGGGTTTTCGCTTAGCGTTCCTTGCCACACGACTCATCATCGTCAGCCTGTGATAATATTTCCACAGACGCACACAAGGGACACGAGGTGGAGGGAGGCTGGTGGGGCTGATTCAAGCCTCCCCGGATACTGTCTACAAAGACACAAAGGCGGACTGGTGGTCCATTTCATCTGCCTCATCAGTGCCATCAGCTCCGGTTGAATAAAAGACGAGAAAATGAGGTAAGCGGCGGCCAGCACCATGCGCTCGGTTTGACGCGTCATGACAGATGCGCACCGACAGTCAGCCCTCTGCCTCCAGCCTGCACCTCCATTTATTCATTTTTCTTATCAGAGCATACAAAGGCTACTGTTAGATTGAAGAATTGCATCTGCTTAGACACCTTATGGCTCATTTTTCCTCCTTGTAAGGACGGCATGTTGAGCATCCAGGGGCCCACCCACCGGGCCTCAGCTTCATATAGGCTTCCTTTACCATTCGCTTCACAGTCATGAAATACAAGGCTTTTATATCAGTTCTGCTGTCCCCCCCACCCCCACCCGCTCTATTGTCACCGCCGGACCCGCCCGCACATTGCCTTGAATGCAGGGTTTAATCCAGACCAAAGTTGTCATGGAAACGACAGCATCATGTATTTCTGTACATAAGTAATACGGCGCAGGCCACCTGGTGAAATAAAATGCTGCTTAACGTTGAACGGGACTGATGCAGCGGTGTGTGAGTGGCTGCAGGGGGGGAAATTGGATAAGTGAGGGCGCTTATAACCATCGCAACAAGAGGAGGGTGTTTATTCTGGTGGTTGCCAGGCAGGTTATCAGACCCCCAACCCCCCTCCTCATACACACACCTACATAAGCCTATACTCCATGACGGATCGACACATGCACATTCGGCCTATAGAAAATGTGTGTAATGATAAAAATGTTCATTCTATATTTCCCAGCTTGTGGGAGGTATTTTAAGCCCTTTCCCTGCTTATGTTGGAATGCAGAATGCACTGAGGCCCAGCAGCACTGTCTCTCTATTCTGCTCTATTTATGAAACAGTCCTTTTTATATTTTCCCTGTGCTGCCTGTAGTTTGACTCCTCTGTGTCTCCATAGCTGCAGCCTGCACCATTCTGTTTTATGGCTTCAGATTTACTCTGACAGCTCTGCTGAGATACAGTGCACTCTCCCTGCTTTTGCTGTAGCTACCGGTGTTTGACTACATGTGTGTGTGTGTGAGAGAGAGAGACTGTCTGGGTGTGTGTAGCCTTTCAGTGAGGAAAAGGAGATGGAGAGAGAAAGGAAATAAGAAAGAAGTGATAAAACAGAATAAACATAGGTGCTCTCACATCTGGATATCTTGTGAGGAGTGCTGCTGTTTTTTCATCACGTGTCTCGATCCAGATAATTCAGCCCTTTCCTGTAACCTCGTTCAACTCAAAGCCGGCAGCAGAACTATTTCGCTCTCAGACGGTCAACATGTAAGATTCATATCTTCCAGTCCAGTTGGATGAACGTCCCGTTTCCTCTTTTCTGTAAATCTGTGCTGCTTGTGTCCCGTCCTGTGCATGTATGTTTTTGCCAGAGGTAGATCTGGTCTTTGACTCAAGCCCAGAAGGGAAGTCTTAAATCTCCACAAAGCAACAACAAGGTGACCTCGCTTTTCTTTTTGCATAGTAAATAAAAAAGGTTTAATTCAATGAGATGATTTGTTCAGCATCACTGCCTCCATTGCAGCATTTATGTAAGGGTGCACATGCATTTATGTATGTGCACATGAGTGTGTGTAGGTGTGTGTGCACAGATGTGACTGATGTGTTATTTTTAGCCTGGGAATGTTACTGGTTTTATTATGCGATGGCTCTTCTGTGCTGTCAGTGTTTGCTGCAATTTGGTTGGTTGCATACTGGTCACTTTTGGATGCTTGTGTGTGTGTGTGTGTGTGTGTGTGTGTGTGCGTGCGTGCGTGCGCGCGCGCGCACATATGTGCACGTGAGAGAGAGGTAAAGTGGTTTGAAAGAGAGAGTGGAAGAGGGCAAAAAAGCGAGGTGTCCTTCCTTTTCTATTAATGCAAGATGATTTCTGCAGCGCTTGTTGTGGTGACTCATGGTAGGAAAGGTAGAATGAGCGAGTGCAGCCAGTGGAAGGTAAAACGCTGAGTTATGCATCTTACTGCAGGCTGCTGCTGATCAGAGAGCAGCTCCATGTGAGCCAGCGTCACCACAACTCCAGCACTCAAATCCTGCAGGCTCTCATTGACACAGAAAATATAATAGTTCAGTCTGGATTTCAGGGAGACCTTTAACTACCTAGGTTTGGTAGAAATACCAAAACAAATATTCTTTTATGTTTTTTTGTTTTTTTTAATAAACTCTTTGTTTTTATTTATTCATTTAACAAAAGAAGCCACAATTGTCAAATCTTAAATGTTGTCTCAACATAATCAGCCGTACAAGAACTTTTAAATCAGAATCCATCGGATCAAAGAATAACTGATCAGAATTGTTCATCTGCTCACCCGCTTTTGGTACTTGACTGATTTCAAACACATCTCATCTAGCACCAAAAAGGTATTGATGTTTCTGACACAGTCCTAAGGAAACACGGGCTGCCTTTTTTAGATTGGATCCAAATTAGCAACATTTCTCAGTAGTAAAAGGTCTTGTAATCCACACTGTCAAAGCAAAGTGAGAGGTCTCACGGAGCAACACATAGTACAAATCATCTGCGATTTCAAAGTGCAGGTGCACTGGTCAAACATTTGACTTTCTTTAAAATCATGCCAACATATGTCAAACATAAGACACCCTGCAGGAACAAAAGTTATATGAGTTATATGAAAAATATACAGAAGTGTTCTGTTGGTTGGCAAACACTGCTTATTGTCATGCACCCTGAGATCACTCTCCTTTGTACGAGTGCTTCAACAGGAATTTAGTTTCTTTTTAAGAAGTGCTGTCATTATTTTGTCTGCCTCCTGTAGGTGTCAGCAGTAACTGATTGGTAAAGTACAGTAAGATCATGTGATTACTTAATATTAATAGAGACTATAGAGTTCATATGTGCATATTTCTCTAGATCAGTGTTTCCCAACTGGGTCAGGCCCTTCAAGTGGTCCAGAGATTAATTTGAAGGGTCACATGGAGATTACCAGGATAATAAAGCAGAAAAAATAAAATAATATTTTTATTTATTAAAAATTCTCTGTTTGCTTTTTTTTTTAACATGTGAAGTATAGAATAGACTGCTCCTTCCCTTCCCTGGCACATCACATGCATCACACATAGGCTTTGTGTCACTGAAGATGTGATGATGAATCTTGGCTTGGTGGAGTTCAAACAGTCCATATCAGATGTCCCCACCACATATTACAAAAAAAAACATTCACAGCTTAGCGAGCTCATTTCTCTCAGGCTTTCGAATTGTTCTACATGTCCTGTCTCTCTGAGTCAGCTCACTAGTTATTACTTCTAACCCTTGCCAAACACATACATTAGCTCCTGCAGCTTTACAAGCCGTCATACTCCTGTAGCCCATTTCATACAAACCCTTAGACCCTGGCTCTGTCGCATAGTTCTCACTGTTTTCAAAACCCACAAAGCCTCCTAATCTTTTCGTGGACTAGATCGCCCTTTGTTTGTTTCCCACACCTCAGCTCGCTGTGCCAAAGAAGCTTAATAGTCTAAGTTTGCTTCGGCCAGATGGACCATCCGGGTGGCAAATTCTGATAAAGCCACAAGGAAACCACAAATGCTGCACCAGATGAATGAAACCTTTGTTGCTAGAATATAAAACGAATCATTACATCTGTTCCTGCAGTGTGCCTGATTTTAAACTGGAATGTTTGAGTGTGCGTTTCTAAATTAATGAACTGGTGTGTTTCTGTTTTTTTTCCCCACTCCAGTTAATTGGTGATTAAAGGTTGTGGTTGACATGCTTTTTTTTTTTTTTTTTTTTTTATAAAAACATTCAGTTACTGTAAAATGTATTAAAAGCTTTTCAGAATTCTACATGCTGAAGAAAGGCGGGTGTAGAAACACTCCTGTTTCCCATAAAGTCTAACATGTAATTTCCATCCAGTGGAAATGATTCCTCTGAGGTTAAAAGACAGCACTGAAATCCTTGAAGCAGAGAGAGGTGACTGGTCTGCACTGGTCACATGTTCTCTCTCTCTCTCTCTCTCTCTCTCTCTCTCTCTCTCTCTCACACATTCCCTTACTCTTTTGCAACACTCCTCATCTCTCTGGCTCACTCCTTCCCTCCTACTCTCTCTGTGTCTCAGTCTAACTGTATGTCTGCTCTGTTGGCGTAGCGGCTCTTTCAAACAGGATGTGAACAAGGGGGGGGAAAGGTTTGCGTTTGCTTCAGCGTTGGCCAGCATGTGTACCGCACTCTCCTCTCAGGCTGACACTTCCCCCTCTCCTCCATAATCTCTCCCCTTTATACCTGCTTTCATCCTTTGCTTGAGGACCGTGCCGTCTTCTCCAGCGACATGTATTCCCTGGACGATTTCGGGTAAGGCAGAAGACGACTCCTCATCGTCACCTCTCTCTCTCTGTCTGTCTCAGTTTTTGTGCCCTGGGCTTGTGTGAGTAAAAGTGTCTTTGGAGTGTGCGGCGATGGTGTTGCTCCTTCCCTCTCTAGTGTTTCTGTTTAAAGCCTGGCTCAGCTTTCAGACCGCAGAATCTGTGTGGTTCTTCAAACAGCATTTGTAGGGCTGTTTATCTGCAAGAAAGGCTGTGTTTCTCTCTCTGTGTGTGTACCTCTCAGCCATGTTGTTCCAGCTCTACGTGCTGCTGAATAATGCAACTGGCTTGACTTGGAGAGAAAGCGAGGAAAAAAAAACAGGAGAGGAAAGTCTCCTCCAGGAGTTGCTGACTTTCTCTTGTCTGTCTGTCTTGTTCTTTCCACTCGTCTGTCTGCGTTTTTTCTCCGTAGCCAGCTGTTAGCCTGATTGGTTACCCTTTAGCAATCTGTCATTGGTTGTTTTTTTTGTTTTTTTTTTCCCTGGGAAGAAGGAATGAGTTTCTCTGTGTCTGTCAGTGTGTCCGCTCAGCTGCTCTGGCTCGTTCACAAGATTGATCCCATCTGACTCGTTGCGTGTGTGTGTGTGTGTGTGTGTGTGTATTTGTGTGTGTATACATGTGTGTGTGTGAGAAGGACAGGAAGAAAGGGATAGGGAGCGTTAATCTCTGAATGGCTGAATGAGTGGGACTATCAAAAGCCAGATGATAC